TAGCAGACAAATCTGCAGAGCAATATTTGCAGAGAGCTCCAGCTACTGCTTTTTACAGAAGGGATGTCTTTTAATAATTAAAAAAAAAAAAAAAAAAGCAAGCCAGAAGCACCTACTAATTAAAGCCCAGTTTCTTTATGAAGAAAGAGTTTCTTTAATCTACCAAGACAGACTGTGTTCTTTCATTCTGAAAGGAAAGGTTAAGTCCTTGAGAGCTTAGTATTGCTAGAGTATGAGCACTGAATAATGGAATAATACACAGCATCCAGGGAATGCGGGACATGTCTACACAGTGCCCTGCAGCACCACGCTGCATTAAGAAACAAGTTTGTAATTCTGGTCAGCATCACGCTACACTAGCCAATGCAGAGGAAGAGACTTGGATCATGCAGTCACACTGAAGGCTGAGAAGGTTCCCCATGACTTTAGAAAGGGTTCATTTGTCGAACTTAGGAGAAAACAGTACTTTGTACATGCATTAGCATAGTACAGAATGAAACTACTGCTATGGAACGTAATACAGATCACTCATTCCAAGCAGACTTCTATGACCAGATGTGGGAGTGCTCTGGAAGCTATCTGATAACAGAAAATTGCTCTGACAAAGTCAGCCCTCTCACTGATCCTGTCAAAAGATGACGGGTATGACTGATGCACCTGCTCTAAGAGAAATCTCAGTGCTGCATCCTAACTGCACCAGCAGCTGCAGTTTTGAGTCCTAGACTTAAAGAAACTCTAAGAAACTGAGGACTTGCTCTCAGCCACTTGTATGCAGACTTGCAAGGAAAAGAATCCACAGCAAGACACACTACAAAAAGCCCCACAAGATTACAGCCCCAAAGCAGAGTTAACATTATTCATGTTCATATTAATCTGTCTGAAACAGATCCTGTTTAAAACCTCAGCAACCTTTTCTAAAAAACTGCTTGGGGGAAAACTATGAAGAATGCAAGTCTCTCTCAACCCATGGCAACAAGCCCAATGGCACTAGGCAGCAAAAGAAAGTGTGCAGATTACCCAATAGAGCCTGTTGTTTATGAAGAACAGATCACAGCAGGTTAAGTGCAGCATGGAAAGGGAATGGCATTTATGCAAAATACAGCATAACAGCAAAAAGGAGAGAGCAAGTCTTGGAAACAAACTAGTTTCAGTCATGTCAATTTTGCACAACAGTACATGACCTCAGTTTTATACAATTAATGAAATTATTCATATGAAACAAATATCCTTATGTTGTGAACAACTCGAATTTCATTTTCATCTGAATCCTTATATTACCACAGACTAACTGCAGAGGCCTTTTGTTGTAGGAAGTAATATGCCCCTAAGCCTAAAATATAAAGAATTAGCAATTCCTCACATCTGCTCCCATTCAGTCATCTCATCATGCCTGTAATGCCACCACCTCTTCCATGCTGCAAATCCATGCCACATTTTCAGGTGTGTCAGCAGTTTTAAAAAGGGATTTGATAAGATCTTTGCGATACACAAGCCCCCAGAATAATGGAAGCAGCACACATGGTGCACAGAAACAGTTTTGAAAACCAGTGAACTGACAGGTGCTGCTCCTCTTCATGCAGCAGACAAAAGCCATTATAACTAGCCATGCCTAGGAAAATCAGTGATCCAAGCATTCAGTGGCCCCACTTCTTTTCAGACTAGACTTTACAGACAATGAAATAAAGATTACACATTTGTTTAAGACACACACTATTTCTCTCTAATGCAGGGTTTAATGATAGACAGACCAAGGTATTTGCCTTCAGGGCACCTTTCACCCTTGATACCACATCCAACTGTTGGGTGTCAGATCCAGCTGCCCTCCAGAGAAGCAGAGGAGGAGGAGATCAGGTGAGCATGGTGTCCCCATGCAGTACCTGCTGCATGTCACAGAAGAGCAGAATAGTTACACTCTCCCAACAGACCCACCCAATTTGCAGTGGATCTGGCTCCCTATTCACACAGTTTTGTACTGCGTGCAATCCCAGGAACTGGAAAGGGAGACTTGGGCTGCTTTCAGTGTTAAACGCTAGCGATCGCAATTCAGTTTCTAATCAAGAGGACGACGATAAACCAGAAAAGCAACAGTTCAATCTGGTTAAGACCAAGAAGCTTCTGTGATCACACAATTACAGCTACCAAATGCAGCTCCCAAACCTGCATCTACAAGAAAGTTCTAGAACTGAAAGCAAGTCATCCACATCTTGAGTGAGTGCTGCAACAATTAAGACATTTGGTATTCTAAATATAGGGCAGGCATCTTTGTTTCCCCTACAATCAGAATTTTTCTTCTACCTAAATAATTCCTCCCATAGCAGTAACATAGAAGGCAGAAAGTTGTTTAAAAAATGCCGTAGCCAACTCTATATACAAGGTATACCCTGAAGCATACGCTTCTGCTTAGATTCTCGTTGGGATGGGGACTCAAGGTTGAAGAGCATGGTGGTTTTTTCTCCTAGAAACTTTGTTGAGAGATGCTGTTCTGTTCTGGACTTCCCAGCTGAGATTTCTGAGTTTGGATGAAGCAGTTCTCTGGGTACTGAACCAGAATAAACTAGTAACAGTTCAGAGCTGACTCTAGTAAGACCTTGAGGACTTCAAGAACTGGCCTACAGAGCTTCCCTGCAAAGCAGAACGTGGGTGTGCCAACTATCAGCACAAGAGATGCAGTATCCAGACCACCTTCACCAGATTGAGTCCTATTCATGAGTTGCTGGAAGCAAAAACTATTTAGACTGTTCACAAAAACTGTAATTTTTAGACATCCTTTTAAAATCAAAGTTTAATTAATTTGGACCAGAAGCTAAAGGGAGTATTTGTCTCAACGGCAGGCTGAAACCAGTTAGCTTCCTTGAAAGCTGTTTTTCATTCACATCTTATGCAGGGACAATGACCTTAAACTGCTACAATATAAACGATGAAGCTGGTTCCTGAGGTATGTGGAACACGGGGTACTTTTACGATCCAAGGAATGATATGAATTTCAGTTAACTCCAACTACAAAGGGATCAGAGGCTTCCTTCATCATGCCAGGTAAAACAAAAGCATTTTAGTGTTCACAGATAGGACTGGATGAAGGAAGAATGTGAAATATTGCTTGGCTGCCAGCTGAAAACACAATTTTCGTAAGCAGTTTCATGCTGCCCCTCCACTGGCAAGCCACACTGGCCTGAGAACGTGCAGAAAAGAGGCCCAGCAACTGCTCCATAATCCAGATGCAGGTACCAACCTTCCAAATAAACCTAAACCAGAGCTTTATCAACCACACTCCCAGTCCAGCTTATTAGGTTAAAAGTTTCACCTGCATCTCCTATTTTACCCTTCAAGAGGTTGATGGACATGTGGCAGAGACACTGGAAAGTCAGCTTTCCTTTTCCCTTTTTTCCTGAACTGTAAAGTTTAACATGAAGCACTTAGTTGGCCCACTGTGGTAGGTTTTATACGTACTCCCCCCAGTGCCAACATAACCTGAGCAGCTACACAAAAATCAAATTTCAACAACTGAAAGTGTAGTTAGACTGCAAGAAGCTGTAGCCACCTTCTTTCTTCTCCTCACCTTCCCAAGATGGTCCACACTGTACACAAATATGATGCTGCTCCAAAAAAGTACGCAAAATTGGCAGGATGGATACAATTTTTTCCACTTCACCGTTAAAAAATCAAAAACACTCCCACACACCCAATAATGGGAGGGTAAGGCTGAGGAGGGGAATAAAATTTTTAGTGGGTTATCACAAGAACATAATCTTTCCTCTCCTCTTCCCCTAGGCATCGCAAAGTGTTTGAACCAATCCCAAAGCTTTTTGTCTTTCTCATCTTTTTGAAGTGAATATTGATTTTAATTTGGAATTTTTTTAATTTTTTTTTTTTTTTTTTTTACTTTATAGACTTTGCAAGCAATAACTAATGAACCCTAAAATTTCTCTGGGCCACCAGATCTATAGAGCAGTCTTAGATATAAGGAGGCTAAGGCAAAAAAAACGTTGTGTGATTTACCCAAGTTCACAAAATAGAGGTCATGAGGGTTGCAGGATTTTTTTTGAGATGTATGCCAAACCGAGCAGACAGCATACCCCTCCTACCCTTATATGCAAGGGAACTGCACATAAGCCACTTTTAACACCCAGTTCAGTTAGTGCTAGGACACTGTTCAATATGCTAGTGGTAACAGTACACTCTTCACTTCTACCCTGCCTCAGTAAAACATACCCTTCCTCTCAATTTCCTTAATGAGGGCTTTCTTTTTGCCATAACTACTTCAACTCCTCTGGAATTCTGTGTAATTCTGTGTGATGCAAGACCTTTCCCAGTTCAACTGTTTCTGAAGGATGATCAGTGACCAGGACTGACTACTCATTTTTCACAGATTATTAAAGGCAAACAAACCATAAGCCTCTTCTCCTAGCCCTGCCTGAGATAATTGCTTCTCAAGAGAAGCAGCATTATGAGTCAATTTACAGTTTCAGGACATCATTTAGTTCCAGCAAGTGAACAGTGAAGACTCAAAAACCCAAACATAGCTGTCTCAACACCTCTCTGCCGGACCCTCAAACCACAACAGGGCACAGAACAGGAAAGTGTCGTCTGTCACTAACAAGTATCCTGCAGTGGTTAAGAGGCTTAATAGACCACTCTTTTTTTGGTGGGATAGATGAAACACAGGTAACAGCAAGGGAAGCTTGGTCCACCCTGCTCTGTGAGAGCCACAGCTCTCTTGCAGCTCATCTTCAGAGAAAAACTGGCAACTTGGTTTTGTTTCTGTGCTACACTGGAGGTGGATACCATTCCATATATATGTCTTTTAAGATATGGTTTAAGATATGGTGACTGAATCAAAGCTTCCACTTGGTTAGACAAGTCCTCAGCCTTCAACGCTTTCACCTGAGTAACTAAGTCAGACAGTGTGGACCCATGATGCTCCATCACTTGGCTCATGCTTTAACAGTGAATCTGCTGCAGCCACTGGGAGTCTGGCTGAAGGAAGCCTGTAGAAGTTTTACCTGTGTGAATGATCCGTCCTCATTGCATTCTGGGATGAAGACTGCTTCCTGGGGCTTCTTTGCCTGCTCCAGTGCCTGAGCTCTCTCTAATCGACACTTGCTTTGGCCAGCATCTACAAAAAGAGAAGCAAAACTCACTTAGATTGCAAACATTATTTGGCCTCTTCAAAAGCTACCAGATGCACCACACAGCTGCTGGTTTAAAGAAAACCCAAAACAACAAACGTAAGACATCAAGGACCATTATCTGCACATTAGTGAGGAGTTAGCAATCATGATCCCAAAGACAAATTGAACCTAGACAATCAAACTATGAGCCACATATTAAAAAGATGTCTAATTTGCTAGTTAATAGTCTTTATGGTCATGCAAGGGGTCTGGAAGCTTCTTCCAACAAGTGCTGGAGCAGGGTGCCCACATAGTGAAAGACCTTTCTGGAGGGAATATTAGCAGCCTGAAACTTGATGGCTGAGTATAAACCGAGTAACTCAGGCCCAGAAGTGAGCAACATGGAAGAAGGGATGACCCCAGCAAAGCTTCTTTTCTGAGCAGCTCTCTCAGTAAGATGCTAAAATAACCAGCCACCCATCTGAACTTCCACTTTTGTATGCTTCAGATAAGGTTGATATGTCATTGCCTCTGCATTTCTGAAGCCCAGCTTCTACCTCTAGTCCCAGTACTCACAGCCAGGTGTGCATTATACTTTCTCATATCAGTTACTCACTTTGCTGCCAAGAAAAAAAACATTGTTCTGCAAGCAGAGCTTGAAAGAGTTAAGATCTCAGCTCTGCACTTATTTCAGATGATGGCAGCAGGTAGCATGACCTTAACCCCTTCCAGGTTCCGCTCGCTGTTACAGAGTATAAACCCAGATAAGTCTAACACTGATGATTAATGGATCAAAGAGGGCAGTTCTGCCCTCCATAGGCACGGATTGACTCAGTGTTTACATTTAAAAACATGATGTCTCACAGTATTGCTGTTCAGTCTAGAAAGAGAAGAAAAACAGCAAACATCTGTTTCCAGAAGACTCTGACACAGGGACTAGCACCTTCTTCCTTTTCCCATGAATCCACTGGCTGTAAGATTTTTCAGTGCAGAAACTGCAAACTCTGATCATCACAATTTTTCAGCAGCACTATATAAAGTGATCAAGGTTGAATCCCCATTCTATCAGGCACAGAAACCACATTGGTTATCAAAAAAAGTTCCACTGGACCCTTGAAGATCCCATATTCTGCTTCATATAGATGTCAACAACAGAATCACTAATACCAGCACTGAATTAGAAAGCCAGTCTGGGTTCTCAGATCAACTGAATTCACGTTGCATGGCAATAGAAATGATCTCCATCTAAGCGTATGTAGATGCAGAAATCAATGACAATGCTGTAAATAGTTTTGATAATGACCAAAGCTTTCAAGCTGAGAACTTTATTTACACAACTGATGATTCAAGAGAGTAAGTTTCCACTTATCAAACAAATCAAACCCTCCTCTTTGGAAAAAGTCATTCACAATAATTGTGTTCAGAACAAAAACCTATAGCTTAGGCACTGGGTTACTAAGCAAGAGGGCCTGCATCAACTCTACCACTGACCCACTGAGTGACTGCAAGTCAGTCACCTCAGCTTGCTATAGCCTGGTGCCCCTTCTGATCTTATGTCACTCATCTTTAGGCTGTAATTTGTTTGTGGGGTGCTTGCACAATACCCTTAGCACATGGAACTTTGATCTCAGGTGGACCTATTAGGAGCTTGTATAAAAAGCAAGACTGTTACCCACAGAATGTAAAGACTTTCTTGAATAAAATTTCCACTGAATTTAGAGAAGCAGTACTTGTTTTTCTAATTAACCATAATATAACCTCTAAGCTGGAATTTCCTTTCTTCCCCCTGCCTGCCAAAGTGACCAGATGATCAGATCTTGTTTGCACAACTCTGCTGGAGAATGGTCCTGCCAGCAGTACTGACCCTTCCAATACATGCTTGTTCTTTCAGCTGAAAAGGAAGCACTGGCAATGCTGTTAATGGGAACACCGATCCACCTGCAGAACTCTCCTATTCGAGCTTAGGAGTCTAATTGTGCTTGGCATGACACAGGACATTATTACAAAACCAGATGGTGCAGCTGCACCTTCTGTTTTATAGCTAGCTGTCTGGCTAAAAACACCTTCAAGTTTTGCTTCACAGGAGACAGCTAAGTAGCAAAAAATCAGCATTTTAGCATTAGATTATGCAGATCTGCACATATAAAGCGTGAAGGGGGAAGAGCTGTAAATTTCTCACATGACAATCAAAGCACAGATTCACAAATGAAAGTGTGTTTCTGGTCTCTCCATCCAAAACATGACACAATCAAGCCCTTATATAAGAAAATGATAATATAAACATGTTGCTGCTACATCACTCCTGGCAATTTTAACTGGCCTTTATAGATCGAAATCCCTACTAGCACTCAGTAGACCACACCAGGTAGCACACCACCACCACAACACAGCATTTAAGAGCACATCATTGTTGCAGCATCCTCTTTTGCAATTCAACCCTTGACTCAAGTCACGTCTCTTCACAAACTGCTGCTGCAGTGCAGAGAAGACAGACAAGTTTTCTCCTGTTCATGAACACTCAGCCCTGATTACTTCTCCCATCCTCTGTCATTGATTTCCAAAGGTCATGCCAGTCCTTCTACAGCCTTGACTTGGAACAACCACCTGGCTAGAGGGGTGTGTGCATATCGCTATCTTTTTTGCCTGTCTTTTCACAGTTCAGTTCCAGTAAAAACAGTGCCTGTAATATCGACATTTACCAGTTTGTTTTTAAAAGGACTGTCAATCCTTCATGTCCTCACTCCACAGGATGGTATTTTTATAATGTTTGCATCAACATGTGATTTCAGTGGGATGACTTCAACTTGCTATTTTTGCTATGTTAATTAGAAAATATAAAATATTACATAAGTGCCAAGCATTGAAAAGTAGCTGCTAAATGGGTAACCCCAAATAAGATGCATTATAAATTTTACTAAAGCCTGGTGTTATGATGTAGACTCACATACCCTATTCTACATTCCAATTGTTTACCTGAGTGTTTCAGCACTTTTTTTTACCTCTTAAAAATGTTCTCTGGAGTACCGAACCCCAAGCTTATAAAACAGAATGGCATTAATGCAATCCAGTTTCACAGTCCAGACAGACTAAATAGGACTTTCTCCCCTCCCTTACATAAGGTGAAAAAACAAAACAGAATGAGGTTTTTTTTCCAAAGCAGAGCTGTTTAATAATTTGACTTCTAATATCTTCAAAGCTTAGGACAGACTTACTGCAGCTCAGAAAGCTGCCTTTTAGAGACTAATCATTCACAGGTTGGTAGCTGGCAACTAGGAGATTGTGAACTACAGTGATGTTTTTGACATCTGTGGCCTAATCTGCAGACTGCAGGTGCACATAATTTTGGATTTTGCAATGAAGTTAGCTGGTTACCATGGCTAATCCTATCCATTAACAGTTTATTCAAATGAGACCACCATGTCCCTCATAATATACACAGCACACTCCTGAATAGGCTCCAAGAATTCCAGCATCCTCTCTTCAACAGGAAGAGGCCATTTTGACACAGCACACCATGGTATAATGACCCAATCTATCTTAATAATACAAAGTAGAACAAGTAAAACTTCTCCAGGTATCCACGTAACACTAACAGCAAATCTATATAATGCAATCACAAAAACCTGGATATTTAATCTTAATTCTACTTTGTCTTTATTAAAAGCTGAAAGAGCAAAAATTGATCCAAACAGCTTTTGAACTTTTTCTAGTTCCATTAGGTAGCAGTCTCACATGCAGGCCAGGTCCCCACCAGGCACAAAGCAGTCCAGCTACACTGTAGTCACATCCTCACACCCATTTGCTCCAGCCAGTGATCTGCATCTTTACAAAAAAAGAGGTAAAAATGGAACCTGAGCAAACTACCAAAACATGCCCATCTATCTCACAAGGTGTCATTCTCCACTCTAACATGGTTTTCCACTTCATTTCTGACAAGTCTTATGCATAGAATCTTGAACTTCCATCTATGCTGACATGCTTTTCTCCTCCTTTGATACTCACATACTATTTCTACTGCAGAGTTCCCCACCTTATTTAGAACATTCCTGAAAGCATTCCTAAATTTGCAAAGTGACTGAAATTGACATTTCAGATTTTGTTGACTAACTACTGCCAACAAGGGTCTCACTTCATTCTCCCTTGACTAGGAATAAGCAAGTTAAAGACAAAACACATGGATCTACCTAGTAAGCTAAAAAGAAAGTGATTTAAAAATATCATCTACTGTCCAAAGAGAACAGTAGGTAGAGGAGAAAGATTACGTTTCAACACACCATCACTAGTCAGGAGACACTCCTTTCCAGTACATTAGCCAAAGGTTGTGTCCATCCAGGTGCCCATGTGACTTGTGATCAAAGAACAAGCTCTATACCAGCAGCCCTTCAAAACCAGCATTATAAATCTAAAGGAAAGCTTTCAGATCACTCCCACTCCCTTTCTTAATTAAATAGGCCAAACAAATCCCTAGAAAACAACCAGTTAACATAAAACTTAACTGTGTTTTAAGCCACACATATCAAATACACCCTAACAATCACTGCATAATCTTAACAACTTGCCAGTACTCATTTAACAAGTATTTGTCATTCATCCCTGCAAAGTTCTGAGGCAGAACTCTTATTTGACATCAGATCTTAAGATGCCTGCTGACAAAAGATCCAGGTAGGAGTGCTTGGCTGTGCTGTTTAAAGGACAGCTACACCATCTGGAACTGTTCTCTGGAATCTCATCAGTGAGGCTCCATTTGTCATGGATGCCATCGTTTGATAATTTTAAGCTACTCCTGACTTCCAGCCCTTTCTGATGAGTGAGCGAGGGTTCGGAGAGAGTTCAGATAATTTGGCACTGAAGGAATTTCACTGAAAAGCACATAAGGAAGCTAGCAAGGAGCAAGAGCTGTATAAGAGTTATAGCTCCCAGAGGGCTAGCAAGATTTGATCTTTAGAGGTCCTTGGCTTCTTGAGAGAGAGCAGAGAGCTAAGTTGAATCAAAAAGGTTCTGTTCTCACTATGGAAACCATTCTGCTTGCCTTGGCACAAGTACAGTTCAAGTTATCAGCATATGGAATTGAAAACCTATAGTATTATGGAGTGCAGGACTATGCCTTGCTGTACAGAATATACTTCCTCTTTTCCTTATTTTGGTTACCTGTTCCCACCTACCCCAAAAAGGATGCACAATTTAAAATTTTTCATTTCATAAGGATAAGTTCTTGGATACAGTACCTATCACAATTGCATGTGGCTGGGCTCAATGGCCCACGGGACCCCTTCCAGTTCTATGGGAGTTGCTCTGCAGAGCATCTTTGTCAGACAGAAGGCATGAAAGCTGTTCAGGGTAAACCTGGTGCCCTACCGCAGTAGTGGAAAAAGCTAGAACACTGCTGGTGATACCTTCATGTGAGTACAAGATACAGACCTGGCCAACTGCCTGTAGCTAGGCATACCTGTCTTGCGACTGTCTATATTTGCCAGGAACAGTTCTCTTATGTGCAATTAGAGGTCACAGTCCTAATACCTTTCAACAGCACACATGAAAATGACCGGCAAGATTAAACTTGAATGTGACAGGATAATCTTACTTCCCAGGGATTCATGGGAGTGTCAGTGGGTTAAAAGCAAAATCTGAAGTTGTCAAACACTGACACATTATTAGGTACTGTATAGTACCACACAGCAAGAGGAAAAGAGGAAAGGAAAATGTGAGTATTTTCAGCTAAACATTTCAGTTGTGTCTGAGAACGCAGAAATGAAAGTATACTTTATGTGTGCTTAAGACAAGAAAGTCTTTAATTACTTCTCTGGGACTCTTTGCAATCATGATATACAGTGGGCTGTGTAGTTCAGCAATCAACACTTTATCCACTTCCAGAAACGACGTTTTTGCATATGGATGTACCATATTTCAGATCCCATGTTTTAAGTGACTGAACAGTGCCTGTTTATATGCCAGTATCAGCAGTGAAATTGCTTATCTAAGACACTCTGCTCAAGTGATAAAAGCAAAAGCAGGACTCCCACCCTACCATTTCTTACTATGATACTCAAAAACACATCACTTGCAACAGTCCAACTGCTTCTCAGATCCTGGGAAGAAAGCTTCTGGGCTTCCAGTATTCAGAAAGCAGCATGATACAAAGGTCCTTTTCTAAGGATTATATTATTAGTAGTATTATATAGCTAAGGGAGAGAAGCTGCCATAAAGCAACCTAGCAGTGGTGAGGTAAAAAAAAAAAGAATAAAATCATACAAGCAAGCTTTTTTTTTTCCCCCCAGTGAGAAACTGTCTAAAAAAGAGAGCAATATTTGAGGTCATGCTCATAACTCACCTAAGCTATAAAGCTTGTCAATACATTGAAAAGGGATTTTCATTCTAGAACAAGTAATTCTGACAAAGATACATTTTTATAACAGTAAAAAAGCCTTCATAAACAGAAGCCAGGCTTCAACATATGCCTGCTTATACTTCCACAGGGATTTTAATGAGTTTCTCCTGTCACTTCGGCCAATTGCTAAAAACATCTGTGCCATCTGCCCTCTGAGTCAATTGTGCTCCCAGAAAATGCACTCAACTTGATTTCTCACTTCACTGCAGAAGCAAACCATTTGTGTGACAAAACACCAATATTCCTTTAAGAAGTTTCAACTTCATCTTTAGACTATGCTGAAGAGCTGAACTGAGAGAGAAACAATATTTTCACATTTAAGAAGCTATGTAACAGCAAGCAGGGAAAAAAAAGACTATGTAAACCCTTACATAACTAGCACAGCGCAGAACAGCTGTGTGTATCTGAAAATGGAGTAGACATCTAATGTGCACGGCTTCCCATTCCGTATACCTATCACTCAAAGGTACCTCAGTTCCTCACTGGCATAGGTAGCATGGAAGATCTTTTTTCAGGATGTGATTTTTCATTTCCATGGGCCAGCTCCTTCTGCTCTGCAGACATACATTTCAGCCCTTTTCCAGTGACGTCTGGCTTTTTCACCTTTTCTCATTTATAATTCAGTCAGTTCTTACTCCTGCCACCTAAGCCCAGATTCAGATACCCATGCTCACATGAATGCACATTTTCAATCAGATTAGTCTCAGAGCATGAAGCTAAACTCAAGGGTCTAAGAATCCAGTTTCTTATGAGGTAGGACTTCCCATTCTTCCCCTCCAAAGCACTTGAAATCCACCTACCTTTGCACCGGCCACGATGTGTCACGCTCAGACTTGATTCCCGGCATTTGGCTCTCTGGTAGTCACACATTGACTCGTATGTTCTGCCATCAGAGGCACAGAGGGGTTTGGACTGGGACCTGGAGCAATGCAGGTTACACTGAGGGTCTCTGTCACGGTCGCTTATGAGAAACTGCAGGAATTGAAAAAAAAAGGAGGGAGAGAGGAAAACAAAAAATATTGGTTTTGTTTGGTTTCCTAAAACAGAGCACAGTGTATTCTGTTTTTATGACAATAGCAATATGGGCTATAACGCAGTTAAAGCTGCCTACCAAAGCTGACTTTGCCTGAAGGGAACTCTAAATGAAACACGTACATCTTTTTAAAAAAAATAAAAAAAAAATTAAGGGTCTTTGCCGTTCCGTTTTCTTTAATGGAACGGAAACATTACTCACTCTGCCTCACCTCTGAAAACACAAGATGTACAAAGCCAAATACAACCCACACGGGAAGGGCAATACTGAGTCACAACAGCCCAGCCTGCCCAGTGCCCTGCCGCAAACAGTATCTGGTACTAGACAATTTTAGTCAGAGGCACAAGAAACTTATCACCAAGGAACCCAAATAACTTATCAAGATTGGCCTTGGTAGTTAAACCATGAATGTGGCCAGCTTTATATCACAAGTTACTTGTTTTTAAAGCATTACTTACGTCATCTGTGGATACCACCTGCAACAGCATACATTGCACCTTCCAAAGCCATGTTTTGTTCCTTTCCAACAACATTCTGTCTGGCTGGCAATTGCATTGTATGCATCCCACAGTCTAATTGCACACTAAGTGAGAAGCTATTTCTTTTCAGAAGTCTGAATTTGTCATCTTTCTGAATAAGTCTTTTCCCGAACATTCACTTCAGATGCAGCCTAATTTGTGTAAATGTTGCACTCTTCTTGTCAATCTATCAATGTGAACAACTCCAGTCTCCCAGTTCCTTGCCCAGAAGCCTTCCTCTGTACCACAATGACCACTGTTTACATTCTCTGAAGACAGCTTGGCTTCTGCCTCATCTTTTGGGGATGGGGAAACCCACAATGAACATGAATACATTTTCATTCCACTTGTTCCCTGCAAATCTCAACATCTGGCAGTAGTTTACTGTTGTATTAAGGATACAACAGTAAACTACTGCCTGTAAGGACACCCGGGTCCCTTTCTTAAGTTCATACTGTCATCCTGAGGACCCTCACTGCTAACCTTCTTTCCATAACCATCAGTATAGAGGTTTGGCAGGACACAATAGCAACAACCCTTTTCATTTCCTATGCTACTCTACTCAGACCTTTAACTATTAATCAGTCAGACCTTTAACTATTACCCAAACCCAACCACCTGCTCACAGAAAGATTTCAGGAGACTCTTGAAACAAGTTCCATGGGGATTAAGCAACGAAAAGCGAAGTTAAACCTGCCTTGCAAATCCCCCTACAAAGCTCCCATCTCTTAAGCCTCTCTCAAGCCTAGAGGGACCAGAGTTGCTCTCTAACACACCAATATCCCAGCTTGCTGTCAAAGCCATTAGGAACTCAGCAGCTTGGAGCTGGCTGGCAAGTGGGCACCGACTGACACCCTGCCTGTATGCACAAAGCCAGGGCTCTCCAAGTGTGTTGATAGCTGGATGCCGTACAGGGAAGTGTGAGTCATTGCCATAATCACCTTGGTGTTACAGTTGCCTACAAAGCTGTCTGCTCTATGCTTTGAGGTTAAAACTGTTGAAAAAACATTGCCTGAAGCCTAGTTTGGGTTGGTTTTTAACCACTCCAAGAACATGCATCTCTGACATTTGTTTTTTGACATTTAAAAAGATTCTTCACCCCTTTTCTCTCCCTACTTAAATGAGATGAAAAACAATTGAGAAATTGCGCATTTTCATACAAAAGCATATTAGGTCTGTACTGCTGGATCTTTTGAAGACTCATGCATTACTAAAAGCCCTATTTAAACATGACAGCTGGGAAAAGTAAGCAAGGTCTGCATTTGTTTTACTTTTGGTGGGGCAATCTTTCTCATCTGTCAGACTTGCCAAAATTTGTAACAGCACAAAGTTTTAAAAAATGTTTTTGTTCCTTTTCTGCAACACTTTCTATAACCTGGCAACACCTGTTCCAAATGGGAAATTGGAAAATTTAAACCTGAAGGCAATTTTAAATGGTTTATAGAGACCTGGACTAGACTATAAAAACACTGTAAAGCTGGACCAGATTTTTGCCCAGTTCTTGTCAGGGGTTGGACTATCACAAGCGAGGTTGGAATTGCCCTGGCTAAAGTAGTGTCTTTCTGTAGCCCCTGAGGTGCAAAGATCATCAGTGACACTAAACTTACAGCAAAAAGCAGCAGACTGAAGATGCTGAAGCTTCCTCCAAGCATGTGACATCAGAGACCTTGAAAAACTTGCAAGACTTTTTCAGCTGTCTGTATAAACAGGCTTTAAAAGCAGTGCTGCCCAATAGTACAGTATGGTGCACGTACAGGCACTAAGTATCCAGTTAAACACAGAAGCCATCCTGGTTTAGAAGGAACGCATTCATCTGCCATTTATCACAACTTTGAGGGCCTGAGGTACTGGCATGAATTTTTTTTGCAAATTCCTTGTGTCAGAAGGGAGTCACAGACAGGAGCCATCCAGAGGCGCACTGAAAAAGCGAGACTATTGGTTCCCAGCATCAAACCACATTACAGACTTACTGAAAAATCTGCTTCTATCATGAAAACTCACCTAAGCTTCCTACAGCCTGAACCAAAATACTTACTACAGAGGGGGCTTTGCAGACCTACTTCCAGAAAGGACATCTCTGAAAAACAGAAAGACCTTCTCGAGGCTGACAAACAAACTAAACCTATGGCTATGGAATAGCTTTCTCCCAGTGCCTCCTCACAAAGAGATGGGGAAGAACATCCGTGTATTGATTAATTATGAGGGCCTGAGGAAACATGCAGAGCACCCCAATGCAGTCTGTGAAGTTCTTGCCTGCCCAAATTAAGCCAAGAACCATGTTATAAGGAAAAAAAAAAAAAAGAAAAGAAAAAAATATCAAAGCCTTTTCAGCATTTGCAATTTGGAGTACAGCAGGGAGCCCACACAGCATGTTAGGTGCTTTCCAGACACTGAAGGTGCCACACCTGCCTTGCCTAAAAAGTTCATGGTTTACGTATTTGCACAAGATGGTTCTTGTTTTTGTTTGGCTAGATTATAATTGTAAAAAGTCTGCATTCATTTCCAGAAGGATCCAGGATTATGCCTGTCTGATCAGGGGCCTTCTGACATGATCAGATAGCACTGCCAGAAAAGCCGTATCTCATGGAGATATTACTGAAGGGCTTTAAAAACTTCCCCTTATTGTAGGGCACCTTCTCCACTATCCCGGAGCCCTTGTGTTCACATTGGTAGCTTTCAGGTAGTAAACTGGTGCTTCTTTGCCCTGCTTCTAGCTGGTAAGCAAGTGTTCATGCTACAGAAGTGATATCAACACAGACCATGCAGAGACATTTAACATACTGGCCATTTTGAGTGTCCATCCCCACCCACCCAGCACAGTTTTCTTTCTAGCATTTTGCCTGAGAGCACGATAACTGCCCGCCTTTGTAAGCAGCCTCAGCCACATGAAGAACACTGTATGAATGCCGAAATATGTGTCTGCCCATCAAGACAGCACTTGAGTCTATCATTTTAACAGCCTGGACTACAATTCATAAGTAACTTGCTCTCAGTCCCTTATTCCCTTCAAGCAAGCAAGCACTGCTTTTCCAAGGAGCACAGCCCCGTTCCAAAAGGGCACCTTGGTCACTGGAGGAGATGTTGCTAAGCAGTGTGCACAGGGCATCTGATGCCTGGCTACTCCCTAGACACAGCCGAGGCTGTAACATGATTCTCTGGTCCTTTCAGGGGAAGCATAGCAAGATAAAATATTCCGTCTTTAACACCAAATGTCCTATCATAACCCTTGAAAGCTCAAATCAAAGCCTAACAGCTATCCTAACAGCTTCAGGACACCCATATAAACAGACTTTACAAACAACAGAACCAACGCTCACAGAGCAATTCTTGGTGCTCTACACACACAGACACACAACATGAACAGATCTGGACTCACGGAAAAGCAACCCTACAAACATGTGCAAGCACCAGCAGGTTTCCAAGCATCATTTAGAAAGAAGAGGGAAATAATTATCTTAGCTCTGAGATTTCTCAAAGCCTCTTCTTGATACCTGTGTTCCCATTTGTTTCAGAGCAGAACACATCCAAGACAAATGGGACTGGAGATGGTGTCACTCACTGGCTTATCAGTTCTTTTCTCTCCTCCCTTTTCCTCCATGACAGAAGAACTTTTAAAAGCAAACCTAAACCCAAAATCAAAAAACCACACACAAACACAACCCACAAACACAAAACCCCACAAAAAAACAAACCTAAACAAAACACCAAAACAAACAAAAAACCTACAAAAACTAGCAAAACAATGTATTTTCCAAGACAATACTAAAACTAATCAGATTGCAAATGGGATCCCTTTAATGCAGACTCAAATATTAAAATAAGCATAAGTAACTAGACAAGACTATTTGTGGTTTTGTAGCATTTGCTTACGTTAAGGGAGCTTGCCCATCTACACCAGTCAGTTTGAGTCTCCCTGTCTTAGAGCTCCCAGTTTAATGCAGCTCTTAGAGCATCTTTTTATGTCAAATGTTGTATCTGTACATAAACCTCCTCCTTTAGCAAATACATTTACACAGGTGCTTGCAGAAACCACTTCCCAAACTACTTTCTGCTTCTTTAGACTTGAAAAGAAAAAGGAAAGATAAGAGGTCAGAATGAAGTTAACTTTGCCAACAAAGCATATCTGTTCTTTTTCTCCACACCTCAACACCACTGCTGACAAACAACAAACACTGATTAAAGGGGTTTTAATGCCTGTGAAGGAAAGCAGACTCCCTGCAGCTGCACAGCAGCTGGGAACACTTGTGTTATTTAGCAGAGAAAGGTCTGACCCCACAAGTGAAAATGAGCTTGGTGGTCACTCATTCTATTCACCATCTGGGTACATTATAAGCACAAACAGAACAGCACAGCTCTTTGTGATGGAGGTAACGAGAAATGGCCAAGGCATTGCAGTACCAGGGTAATATGCTTTAGCAAGG